AAACAGAATGTAAGTGCAGGTGAAAATAACATGCATGCATATCTGAAAGGTGTGGTAAACAATTAGCAGAGTAAGGACTGCCATGGCTCTCCAGAAATCCTGTCCAGGTGACTTGGTGGAAAAAAGGCTGCTGAAAACCCTTCTGTCTGCATTGTTTCTTTGCCCCAAGATATCTGTAGCCTCCAGAGGCAAGAATTAGGACACTTAGCAAGTGTAAACTTTTAGCAAGCATAAATTTTTACTATCTGTTATTTAAAAAGTTTAGTACTATGCAAGAAAGCACTGGACCTTGAAGCTGATCTACTGGAGTAAAGGGGTGATCTAGCAAGCAAACCTATAATATGAGTAAATACTGTCACATAGCAAGGCTTCATCTTGAACTTGTAATTTTCTAGTGATTGCATCTTTGTACTGTCAGTGTTGTCATGCTAACAGGACATAATTTTTCTCTAGCTGTACAAGCAAATATTAAATTCTGGCTACTCCTTCAGAAAAACTAGTACAATATGTAGCTCTATGTAGACAGGTGATACTTTCCTCTCCCAGTGCCAACTTAACAGATAATAAAAATGAATGGAAGACTACTGGCTTATTCCCTACTTGACAAATAGCACTTAGTAATCTTAATACACAGACTATGTGAGTTACAGAAATTCCTCCTTAGCTTTATAGTGAAAAGAAAAACACATTTGTAAAGCTATTACAGTTCATGTAAAACAATTTCTCACAATGAAACATAGCAGAATTTAGGGGGTTTTATTCTGTTTTTTTTTTTGCCATGGCAGACAAAGATCTAACCTTCATAAAAATAAATAGGCTCTAGGCAACGTCTCCCTTACATATGGAAATACTCTACTAGATGCACAGCGTGCATACAGTCCATTAAACCTGCTTTCACAAAAGCAAGATTTAAAATGCTGTGATTTGATGACATAACTGTCATGTTTGAATAACTTTTCTGATTAACTAGAGTTAATATGAGTACATATAAGAAGGTTTTGAAGTTACTGAGATCCAATTTTATGTGGTTTGGAAAGAAACTAATAGTGTTTGAGAAATCCTAAACTATTTCTGTTCTGATTAAGTGTATTCATAAGCACACATTTCCTATGTTTTCTTTGATGGTGTCTCATTTCTGTTGTACAGGAGTAATGCTGAAGAAACTAGCAAGGTTGTATAAAACCATGCAGATCTCAGATAAAACATGCATTGGTTAGAGAAATACAAAGCAAATGATCTTTTCTTTTAAGGAGACATTTTCCCTGGAGTTCTGTCATGCACCAAATCAACAACATGTCTCTGCTCTTGGACTTAAATATAATGAAAATTGAAGAATGTAGTTTCTTACTCCCTTCTAATTCTGCATGTGTCATTTAATCTTGGGTAATTATTTAATCATATTTAAATGTACAAGAGTAGAATTTCCATCCATTGTTCTGAAAGCTGATAAGCATTAATTGATTGTCACAGAAGTAAAACAATTCTAAATCATGACTGACAGTCATTTGTTTTGTGTATATAGAAAAAACTGCTACATTGTGATAATGGGAATGTCTCAGATTTCCAAATCCAAAACTTCACAAGTCTACCATACAACTGAGCTATTTAAATTGAAAATCTATTATTTAGAACAAATATTTAATGCAGGGAAATTATAAGTGATCTGAGCAGTTGATTGTTAACTTGCACCTTGATCAGCCATAAATTCAGGCTACATTGCACCACACACAAAATTTCTGTGCTCAGCATGGCAAAGCTGTCAGTTCCTGATTTCATTCTTTAGCAAGGTAGCTTTCTAACCTTGTAGTTCTCAAAAATACATTGTCAAGTTTTCAGTCCCAGTGTGTTTCTATTGGTGCTCAGTGGAGTGATCATGAGGGAAGCAAGTTATTGCAGCCAGGATGCTGGGAGATCTGTCCTGGGATATGATTTATACAGAAGTCAAAGAGAGTGTCAACTGTCTTGTACAGCGGGTTGATAAATCTACAGTCTAGGCTGGAAAAGAAATGCACTTCTTTAGACCAAAGCAAGAAACGGGCTACAGCTGTTAGATCTGGTTAATTATTATTTCTACTGACTTCCTTATAGAAGTCAGATTTTTTTCATATTTATTTTCATATTAGATTCCATAGAAATTTAAAGTCACACAATGCTTATTAATAATCTAAATTGTAAGAATTTGTATATGGATATATCTGGCATTTAATTTCACATTCACTTACTTCCATGAAAAATCCAAGTTACTAGTGATAGCAGTAAAACCAGATTAGTGGATAATAGCGGACTACCATACATGCTACACTGGAAGAAAACATTTGTACTTGTAGTAGATTGTAAATATATAGATAAGAAATTAAAAGCATTTGTCGGGATATTCTCCCTTTTTTTTTTTCTCTTTCCCCCTTTTCTTCCTCTTTCTCTGCCTCCCCATTTCCTTCTCCTTCCCTTCCCTCCCCTTCCCTGCCCCCCCACCCCCACCCCCCCAGTCCCATACAATTGTAGAATAACAAATTCTAGAGTAACAAATATAATCACAAAGGCAGGGTACTTTCAGGCTCAATAATGTGTTGCGGACGGAGTGATTAACTTCACTAGTTGGAGTGAAGTAGTGAAATATTTATTAAGGTGAAACAGTGATTTAACAGAATCAGTAGTAAGTGCGATAAAACCAGTGGTAAATGCGATAGTGTTTTACGAGATCCGATGTCAGGGTACACTCTATTATTTACTGCACGGAGGACAGGGTCAGACAAGCTGTCAGGGAGACCCTCCCGTTGAGTCACGAGGTTCAGAAAGGACCCCCTTGCTTTCTAAACTCCTTCTCAGAGAGGAGTCTGGGTGCGGCTGGATCCAGTCCTAGTCCCAGACTTGGTCAACGGTTTATGTCTAAAGGATTATATATGCTTAATCAACCCTTTATATTACTTAGCTAAGATTTCAAAGTTTAGCATGCTATTAGTCACTGAGAATCTGTTGTGGAATCTCTACCTCAAGGAGTAGAACCTTAAGCGAGCGCCCTCACAAAACAGGAGATCCTGGCGTGCAGCCCACTGCCATACAGGAGAGCTCAAAGGGCTCTTGGGCTGTCCCACTATTTATACAGTAATAATACAATAATTATATGTATAATTGACCTATAGCCATATTCTCATGGAAACAAAATTTCCAGGTCCCCACTCCAGACAGTATTTTGGCTGTGTTGCCAGCCATCCCCAAAAGTACAGGTGCAAGTTATCACAAATGATGATGTGATGGCTGGGGTCCGAGTAGGAGCCGGGGAGGGTAGGGTGGGGGGGGGGTAAAACAGGGAGAGCACACACCACATAATGAAGCTCTAAATTTTTAAGAGAAGGAATAATCTACAGCATGCACAGTCTGTGCACGGGTATCGTAGGCTGCCTAATATCTCTTTGTTACAGTCACCTTGCCTCATGTGCTTATGATGTGTAAGGTAACTCTTCACTCTTTCGCAATAGTTTTGTACTAATGCATATAATCAGAAGTCATTTGAATGATTATCAGCGTCTGTTGGCACAGCAATGGGTCTTTCTATGCTTGCATTAAGAATCACTCCCTCTTCTTTCTTCATTTCTGAGTATAGGATGGACAGAAATTTCTCGTTACTCTTCCTCCCCTTAGGAGTTTGTTAGAGGTGCTAGGTTACATTTTAATTACTGTTACCTGCTCACCTTTCATGGCATCAGAGAGAAAGTGGCTGTGAGATTTGCTTCTTGGGATTCTGATGCATGAGTGCAGCAAATCTTGCTGCAGTAGGTCAGGTTTCTGTCCATGATGCTGCTGCATGAACTGTCTCTTCATCAGTATGGGTGATAGGACAGGGTATATATCTGCATCTCAGCCACTTCAGTGACCCACATGCATATAAGCACAGACCATCCTTTTTCATGATTTTGAAACACAAGCCTGTGAGTTGAGCTGGCCATAGGGAACAGGCAAATTTATCTTATGTATAAAGGTACCCTCAGGCAGGGGAGTGAGACAGGCATGAATCCCAGCAGTCTGCAGCAGCATCCATCTGCCAGAAACCTTGGGGTGCAGTTTTGCATTACAGCTAGGACAGCCATGTGTCAGGGTGCTGCAGCAGGCTTTCTCCCTTTTCCTTATTTTGATTTTGGAATATTTTTTTTTAATTGAAATTTTTTTGTTGTATTGTATTGTAGACTCAGGATGAGACTGTTCATCCAATTTCATCCAAATGAAAGCTCTTCTTATGAATTTGTTTCTTAATTGTTCACAGAGTGAATTTTATGCTGGATCAGCCAGATAAACAGACTTGCTGTTAATGGATCAGGTACTAGGCAAGTGGTCATGCATGCTCTGGGATTAGTGGCAGTGACAGAGTATTCATTTCACATCAGTTCAGCCATAACATGAAACAAATGCAATCATAGTCACTTTAACAATGTGGTTGCAAGACAACTTTGGACCATATAAAGTGGTACCACCTCCATGCTGACTTGAATGATGCCACTCATGGGTGCTCGCTCCCAGTCCCTCATTTCCACTGCCATGAGCACCTATGCTTTTCTGGTCCTTCAGTGAGACAGTTCAGGGCAATAAACCAGGAGGAAAATACTTCTGGTTTTTATGGTATCCCTCTGCTGATGTAGAAGATGTCAGACATTTGATAAGTCTCCATTATCCATTAATTGGGACGCTCTTCTGTCTTTTGCAGCATATGACAAGAGAACACACATAAGTCCATCTGTCCAAGGTCCTGTCTGTAAAAGTAGCCCTTTTCCTGAGTATTGTCTTGCTAAGCATCTGGAAGAGCTTCCTTCCTCAGATTCGAAAAATACCTGCTATAACGGAAGGATATTAGCCAGGATTTAAGACAGAAGAATCCTTCTTGTGCTTCATTTCTTTCTCTAACCCCTCAACATTTTTTCCTTAAAATTTTTCAGTGTCTTAAGGATTTTTGTGATTTTTTTTCATTGCCCATGTTACAATCATTTCTCCATTTATCTTTTGTGTTTCAGCTGCGATCGAGCTCAGAGCTTGGCCAGGACATTCTGAATGACTGCCTCGCAATCCAGCCCCTCCAGCCAGCCCCATCGCCGCATGATGCTGCAGATACTACCATGGGGCACTCCCCGGGGCCTGCTCACGATATTTACCCAGGTATAGAAGACGACAGATAAACAGCCTGCTTTATTATTGCTCACATAAGATTAGGGATGATTTTGCAGAGAAAGATGTACTGTAAAATCTATATCTATCTCATAAGAAGGATAGAATCTGCAAAGTAATATAAAAATATAGGTTTTGAACAGATTTTTATGCATTTTTGAAGGGAGGGAAGACAAATTGTATTTTATCCGTGAAAAGACCTACTGCAACAAAGAGCAATGTTTTTGCTCTCTAGGCATTTGACTTCTGCTGGCAATTCACTTCTACTGTTTCTTGTAGACATCTGGAATTCATTAAGCTTCATTTAAAATCAAAAGAATATTTTTCCTCTTCCTTATTCATGGATCATATAGCAGTTTTCCAATAGATCTGCATTAATGAAATTAAATGCTGCATTACGAGCTCTCATATTATGCCTATAAATGCATCAATAAACACATTTATGCTATAAAGGTGATAATCCTATTTTATTGCTTCAGTTAAGTATCTGAGATTTTTCATATTAAAATACCTAACCGTCATACCTGGTTAAATGTACAATTGTTGCTCACATTTCAGCTAAATTAAAACATTTCTTAAGTTATGAGTGATAATACATCTCAAAGGTCAAGACAACAATAAGCAGGATGATAACATTTTTAATGCAGTATTTTAGTAGTTCTAAAAACATCTTTTTTTAACTTTCAGACAGAATGCATTACATCTCCTAGCAGTTCAACTTTTAATTGAGAACCAGATGTAGGAAGTGAAAGAATTGACTGAATGTTATGTGCAGTGCTGAAAATGACATTGTATGAAGTGGCCACTTCAATAAGTGGTTTTGTTTTACTGAGAGGCTTGTAAATCTGTCAGTTCTATGATATGTCAAGGCTGTTGTGAGCTACAGACTAGTTGGTGATTATGTAGGTTTATATGACAAAAATCAGGAAATTTAAAGGTTGACTGTATGCTAATTTATAAAGTAGTTTGCATTACTTTTATCCCATTAACTTTTAAATGTCTTAGTCTGAGTTGAGACTGAGTGTGGCATCTGTTATTTGAAAGCTAAAGGAAATTTCAGAGTTTAAAGATCTGATTTCGGCCAGGGAACCTCTAATGATATGGTGTGGGTTACAGTTGCTTATTTTATATTGTACTTTGAGAGGGAGTTTGATAGTGAGGAACGTTGAGATTTAAAAAATTATTTACTGGCATTACCCAGTATAATGTGCAAAAGTGAGAGAAAATAAAAGACTTGGCTTTTCCTTTTGCTTTCAAGTCCCTGGATAGGATGGAAGCTAGATGGGGACCATGTGTCAGATGATTTCAGAAACTGAGGACATTCTCACAGACATTTCCATTGGAATCTGTTGTGTGAATTTAAACTTAGGCTGTTAGCAGCTTTCACAAACTGCTGCCCAATGACTTGTCAGTATCCTAAGCCAAGTAAAGCTCCTGCCTCCTGCCAGCCCCTAGCTAGCAGTTGCCCACAGTCATGGTGTCCCATAGACAGCTTCTGAGACTGTGGCATTACTTTTTGTAATCTCATTCTTGCCTTATCTTTCCATACTTGTGATTTACATCACTAGTGACTATGGACATTCTTTGATATAATAATTTATTCTGGTTTTTTCTTACTTGGCACTGCTTCCTATTGTGCAGCAATTTTTATAGTATTAAGTAACATACTTTTATCAGCAATAATTTCTCTGTATGTAATAAGCTGCTTTCCCTTACATGTGTTCATAGCTATCTATAACTTGGCAAATCTCTCATAGTTTTATTTGCTTGTGTTGTTTCACATGAATTAACTGAGGGTATTATGTTAGGTATAGATGAATCCATGTCACTTCATTTTGACAACCACCCAATCCGGTTGAAGTGGATTGTTTCATTAACTACTCATCATGGCTGCTAATTAATAATATACTATGTGAATAAGTGAAATAACTCCAATAGAGAGGGAATTGTTTTGTTGAAATGGCAACATGAAAATTATTCATGCCCCAAGGAGAGAAAAACAAAACATACGAAAGCTGCTTTAGCTGCTTAGAGAAGCTACCTTTCAAACTTCTGTGAAAACAACATTGTTTGTAAATGTAAAGAAAAACTTAGAGGCTTTTCTGAAAAATAAAATCTTTAACTTTTTCTGGGAACTGTTAGAGACAGCATATTAGCTGAAATGTGTCTGTGCTACTTCTCCAGTAGAAACAGGAACAGATTGCCATTATTCCAGTGCTGTTAAGTCAAATTTTTCTCACTTGAAGGTCACTTTTCTTACCATTGATGCACATATAGAGCAAATGTAGGTTTTATCCTTTCTTAAGAGATCTATAGAATAAATGTTTGAAAGGAAACTATTAGAAATATGTAAGAGATGGCAAAAGTAGACATTTAGTTGCTTGTCCATTTCCACTTACCAAAGCACAACAATGTCTGTAATGATCACTGTTTCTCTGTTAAAGTATAGAATCTGCAAACAAATATATTTAAATGAAATGCAATAGTCTTTTTCATTGCGTTTGTATTACTTAAAGTTAAGACTGCATAAATGTTTTCTTTTGTGGCCTTTGTGACTTTATTAAAGAAATCTGAGCTGAGTATAATCTTATTAATGCAATGAGGTAACATGACAGATCCTTTGCTTAAAACTAACACAAAGTAACACCTAAAAGTCTAATGTTAAGCAAGCGTACATATTCTTCTAGGGCTAAACATAGTGATATTTTGTAAAACAGAAATTCAAAGTCTATCTCTACTGAAGCACAAAATTTCTGTTAGCATCTAGGTTTTAATTTTTTAAAAAATACATAGGCTTTTGCATTTATTCAGTTCATAGGATGAAGATGTGAGCAATTAATTAATAACAAGAACATATGAATGATGTTTTTACTACTGTGAAATCATATCAACTTGCTTTGTATAGTGCAATCTAGAATCCCTAAAGCTGAAAAAATCATAAATAATGCAATACCAACAAAAAATTATTTTTACTGTGCTGTTTGGTTAAAAATTGACAATTTTGTATTTAAGAATAAAGCAGAATGTGTCATTAATTATAAATAGTTGCTGAATGTCACACTCTGCTCTGCTCCAGAGCAAGCAAACAATATTACTAAAACTTGGCAAGTGCATGATTGTCTTTGCAAGTTGGAAATTGAAAATTTCATCAGGAACGTTACAGAAGATTTTGCAATTCTAAGTGTATTTTAAACAATGTCTAATGCTCCAGTACTGTGAAACTTTGACCCAACTACTTTTAAGCCAATGATCTAAAATGTGCCTTAGTTAAGTAACTAAGTTAAGTAACTAAGTTAAGTAACTTAGTGAAGTAACTCCTGTGTTGGGTTTTTTTCCCCGATGAAATAAGATTGAGCTAGGTACTCTACACACATAATAAGAAATAATTCATTCCCAAAGGAATTTATATCTACAGTAGTGTTAGGGCAGTAGGTAGATACGACAGGCAGGTAGAGGATAGAGGACATACAGGAAAAATGAAAGAATTCTATTAAAACAACGTCCCAGTGAGTGATCTCCTTAACCATTAAGTACCATGGGCAGTGTGGGAGATCTCTGAGGAAAAAGCAGTCTGTTTGTTAAAGCTGACAGCCTTGGGAAGTAGTTATGGCTTATTACTGGAAGAAAAAAAGAATGAGAAGGAAAAACTGAGAGATATGAATGTGGTATGAATGGCTATTGCAGTGAAAAACTGAGTTGTTATTTGATGCTTAGGAAATGAATGCAAAAGAGGAGATGGTGTAGGGCAACAGACAATTAAGAGGATCTCTGTTCTCACCTTCTTGGCTGAATTTAAGTATGGCATACATTACCAGAACTCCTACTAAATGTGATGTACTACCATCTTAGTAGATGGCGTGATGTCTTAGGACAATTTTTACTTGTGGAAGGTCTTTACCACAAAGCCACTTTATGTCTAAGCATTTAGATTTCTAAATATTTGTGGTAAGGGATATCCAGATACAGAGACTGATTGAACAGGTTTCCAAATTTCAAGACTAGATTACTCTACAAAGTGCTTTCCTAGGCTTGCTTTCTTCTTCTATCTAAATATCTTGAGTGGGTCGACTTTGTAAACTCTCCAGTTTTCTAGGTGGCTCCAGTACTTGGATGCCTCCAGTATCTCTGACCTGCCTGCAGAACATCTGAAGAAAGATACAGAGACCATTGATGCAGGTGGTCCACACGCCAGACCCACTTTGGAGAGAGGCTTATTTTCTTCATAGTGTGCTTTTGACTTTTTCATGCACGATGGCTTCTTAAGTTCCATACATACTGGAGCCTTCAGATTTACAGATGAGCTGGGCAGGAGCAAGGAAACACAGGCAGCATATTTTACATTTGCTGGGCTTACCACTTACAGCTCAACACAGCACATACCCACACATTCCTGGCTACAAAATCCTGTAGGATAGTATCCTGTATGGGCTCCCTAGAGAAGGTGAGAGGGGAGAATATTTGGAGGTGATGCTTCCAAGTGCAAAAAGCATTTCAGATTTTTCCATCTGTGGACTAGCAAATCCCTTGTTCACAAGGACTACATAAATATTCCTTATGGAAATGGAAGGTTAAATATTGGATTTTTTTTTTAAAAAAAAACCAAACTCGTGCGAATTTATGTATGTAATTTTTATTGTCTGAGTTACACAATGAAATATTCACAGTGTCTTATTCTATATAGAAAGAATTCTCACCCTTACTCCAAATTCATGCTGGCAGTGGTAAGAGGAGAGGTATTTTGCGGGCAGAAATAGATTGACAGAATGCTGATTTGACAGGAACAAATCCAATACAGTAAATTATACCATTGGTAATTTGCAAAGGGGATGGTGATTCTTTTGCATTTAAAAAATATTCTGTGAAATTACAGGTTTCTGGCTTCATTTAAAAAAATATATATTTTTTAGGCTTTGGATTCTGTAACTTTTTAAATGCCACTTTTCTGTCCTTTTTTTCCAAGGTAATCTTATTCAGAATCAGTTTGTTCTCTTCCAACCACCTAATTTGTTCCTAAGCGTTATAAGAATGCATGTGAATTTAGCTTCTCACAGAGAAACCGTTGCAGAGGTATTCTTATGGAATTCATATGTGTTGATAAATTGATTTGTGATGAGACTCCAGAAATGAAGGCACGGCTCTTACCTCTCTGTCAGTGTAACCCAGTCCAAGGTTCACATTCAGGGATAACAGGTTATATCCATCTTGTACATTGTGGTGTAGGTTGGGCTTTTTAAGGGACACAGAGGAACAGCATCAATAATTCTTTGGTTTGGTTTGTGGTCTTTTTCAGAATAACTGAATCTTTTAAAAATTTAACTGTGTTAGTTTATCTTGCATTGATAGGAAGTTTACCTTGTTTTAGGAAGTCTTTCTGACTTCCTTGATTAAGTGTAGTACTTACACTTAATTCTGCATCTTTCTGTGTGGACCTACCTAGTGGTGGTATATTGGAGTCAGTGAGTGTGCTGGTGGCTATAAACGTTTGGTCAGTTTCATACCATTCAAAGCAGGTGTTTAATGGGATCAGGCACTGAAAAGACATTCCTTTGTGTAGGTATTTATTTCCTGACAGCACTTTGAGCAAGCAGCTCACGTTTAACAGCTAAACTGCTAGAAAAGCTTGCCAAGCACACAGCTCCCAACAAAAGGTGGTCAAGGTATCTAGCTGTTTCTTAAATAATGTCCAAAGTTTTCTGTCAGTAGAGCTAGCTCTACTGGGGAAATGACCTGTCACTGACAATATTTGTTGACTGCCATAAGTCTGTAGCCTGCCAATGGCAGACTGTGTTTTCCTTCAGCTGGTATTTACAAGATGTAGGTAGCAGGTTGGACCAATACCACGTCTACGCTGGAAAGTTTTAGTAGTAACAATTCCACTGGGAAGCAGCTACCGGCATTGTGATTTCGCTTCATTAGGTGCCCACGGAGGTGCTTCTGTCAGCACAGTACCTCTATGCAGAAAGAAGCTACACTGAAAAAAGATGTGTTGCGTTGCCTGCGAGTGTTATGTGGTCTCCCACACCATCATTTGTGGTGCTGCACTTGGAGGCTTCATTCCAAGGCACCCTGGGAGCCCAGGTATGCTCTCTGTCACGCTGTGATGGTGCAGTGTACCCTGTGTACAGAAATATGTTTTAGCAGCTTATATGTATGGTTTTTCTTCCTTAAATACCCTCTTGTCTGCACCATAGTTAGCTCTTACTTTACACTGTGTACTGTCTCTTCATCAGAAACAGAAAAAGACTACAGAGAAATTGCTGGGAAACCTAGCCAAAAGGTACTACCATAGCAGATACTGCTGTGACGGTGAATATTGCAGTGGGCTTTAGGTTGCTGCAGTTCAGAGAAAGGACAGATGGTTGCCCCTGCCTGCCTGCAGATAACCTTTTCCTGGGGACAGGGTCACCAGGTCTTGGGCAGTGCTGTGGGAACCTGTGCTACCCCTTCAGACTGGACCAGCTAGAAATGTGCAAGTACAATTTAGAAAATACATGCCCAAAATCCTTATCATGATTGTGGCAAAGAACAGCTATGACAAGGAAGAACAGCTCTTGCTACCTTATGCTGGAAAGCCAGTCATAGTCCAGCCTTTTTACTTCTAATCAACCACAGCCTTGAAAAAATTTGTTTAAACTCAAAGATCACAGTACTGGGAAACTAAATCATTATATTTCCTTACACATTTTAATGTTTTTCACATGGGAAAATGTGAGTTACCCTATTTTTGCAAGTAATAATTTAAATAGTCTCTGTTTTAATTTAGATAATCAGGGTTTTCCTTTGCAATGTGCTAATTTGTTAAATATTCTCTCTGTTTATTCTGCCAGAATGTGCATTTGGTTGTTTTTCAGTATTTTCTTCTGCACTGCAAGGAAGCATAAGATAAAAAATTCAAAAGGTCATTCCTTTGTTTTCCCCACTGCATTTTTCTTGATGCTACTCTAAGAGATGGGTGTGGACAGAGTTATTTTTGGGGTGTATGAGCAAAGTGAAAAAACAAAAATTACCTTCCCCTGTCTTAGGGGAGGTTCTTCCTCATCCTTTTCATAGGGAGTCACTCTGCTGGCTTAAGTGATATCTTGTCTGCCTTCTACTATCAGATGCCTGTTGTCACTTGGTTTGTGATTAGGAGTCTCTGGTGCATATAAGAATTAGCAAACAGGAGAGGCTAGTGCCAAGAGCAGCAGCAGGCATTTTTGTTGGTCCTCCTGACCATGTGGTTGAGCAGCCTTCACTCTTCCACCCTTGTCCACCAGTGTGGCTCATGCCAACTTTCCCTAAACATTGACATGACCTCTGCAGCATCTGTATTATTCACATCTGTATTATTCACATCTATTTTATTCACAAAGTGGTTTCCTATCTGTCATCTTGCACACTCTGTCATCTCCACCAGCTGAAAGATTCAAGGGCTGCTCTTTAATGAAGGTTCCAGCATAATTAAACTCCTGAGCCTTTCCTTAACTCTGCCTTTGTCTGGTGAATATCTACTGTGTCACAAAAGATGAATAGAGGCTTTCCAGAAACAGATTGAGGACTTAGGAGATGAGGTGGGCTTTTCATCCTTTTGAGCTTGGATAACAACATTCAAAATTGTGACCTGTGAAATCATTTTCTGGAAGATGGATCAACAGTGGAGTGACTCCTAAAGTAGTGTTCTGCTAGGACTGCAGCATCCGTGCAGATATTTTAGCCTAGAAGGATCTTTAACCAGTGGCAATGTCCTTTGGGGAACTGGTTTAAATTTTAGGATTTTATCAATAAATTTGAATCATTAGCTCCAACATATTCACTAACATAACGTAAGTTTTATAGGTAGAATTTTATTCTGTAAACTAGGCATAAACAAAACTTTTTTTTTTTTTTAAGAGACTGAAATATATGACAACCAAACAATGAGAGATCATTTTTATGCTGTAGACAACCTGCCTAATTTGTTCTCGGGATTCATAAAATATTTAAGAGCATGTATTTGGCTGCCATTCAACATTGATATAAGATACCTGACACAGATGTCAGTAAAAATAATTGAGTAACTGGATTTTCAGATGTGTTTAGTAATCAGTGTCTTAGCTTCTGGCTGTCTGATTTAAAGAACTTCTGAAAATGAGGTTACAGGATTTGAGGTCAACTAATAAGGACATTCAGAGGGAGTCCTGTATTGCTTTTTGTTTAATCATCCAGTATGTTTGGAATGTATACAGGAGTAATGTCATAGAAAATTATGAAACTGTTAGTGTTAGTTTAAAATTACTGGGGAATGTGGGGAAAATAATAGCAATATTTGTGTTTGGGTTGACTTCTTCAAGAAATTTGGGATTTTTACAGCTGAGGGGAAAATGTCGAAAGTATTTCACTATTTATGAAACTGTGTTTTCTGTTCACTGGCTTTAAAAATATATATCTTAGGCAGTATGAGCTACCTCTTCTACAAGAGGAAGCTATGGAAAATTTGCAGCCTTATTCAGAAAATTCCCCAAACAGGGGGCACAGCTATGTCATGCCTATGTCATGACACTTATGAAAGTGTCATTTGGAAGCAGCAAAGGTTATTTAGTTGGGGTTTTTTATGTGGAATTTTTTCTTCCCTTTAGGACAGAAAACACCACTTGAAAAAAAACACAGTTGGTTGCTAGGAATTGTCACTACAGCTTTAGCGGAGGTGTTACCCATTAGTATTCAATCAGTTATCAATGCTGTCGCCTGCCTGATGAGATTATTTCTCTCCTTTTGCTTTCAGTGGCCGTGTTCCCCAGCACACAGACAAGTCGAAGTAGAACAGCGGTTGTGTCCTTGTCCCACCCCACCAGCCGCCCCTCTCCAGGACGTAATGTACAGGGTAGTCCTCTCCATCCTTTAACCCGGTTACCTCTTCTCTCAGCTGCAGACTCAGAGAGGTAAGACCATCCCCTGCTTTTCCCACTCTCAGCAGGGGCAGGACTGCCTTCAGAACTGCCAGGCTGGGTGGAAACTGAATTGTCATTGTGCAGAAAGCTGCTGGTGTCAGCCCCTGGGTGATAGTTCCTCTGGGTATGTGTTTACCAGGGGAAGGAGAGGTGAAAGGGGCTCTGTTATCCTAGCCTAGACAGGGACAGTTTCCATGCATCTCCATTTCAGGGACTTCCTCTAACCTTCTCTTGATCTCCACCAATGTCCTGAGCAAGGAATATCATACAGGCTGGGACACTACACTTTGGAGGAGCCCAGCCATACCTTACAGATTCATGTTTCTGTTTACTTGTGGTAGAAGAGTCATATTCTGTCAATATTCTCTCAATACTAAGTATTTCTGCAGGAACTTGTTTTGTTTTGTTTTGTTTTTTGGCATTTTATTAATACCAGTAGGTAATTAGAGATTTTTTAATTCATTGGTTTGAGCACTTGATTTATAGTCAGGATTTATTTTATGCTGGGGCAAACCCCTTGACCTTTACCATTTCAGTGATTTTAGATATTTCAGTGATGTGAAAGCAAATCCTTGGAAGTGGCTTGATTTTCATGTTTAGACATCCCCAAATTTTTTTCAGCAATCTTTCCAATTATTTGTATAGCATATGGTATTACAGATTTCCACGTAGTTTGTTAAACCAAAAGTCTACTAGATCACTAGACTGAAGAGGCCTAAGCAAATAGTTTTCCAGTGTCAAAGTCAGGAAGATGCACCATCACACAAAATACTGAATTTTGACTATATGTATATAGATACTTAAACATTATTTTGATAATCTCCCTGTTTTTCAGTGCTCTAAATGATAAATTGCTGCATTTTATTAATGCATTTCAAAGTGTTTAATTTCCTTGACTGACAAAAATGGCAGTAATTTGGAGAGCACAAAGTATCCAATTTTAAACCTGAAAAGAACATTCATGAGATTTCAATTACTGGTAAATGGGGATAATTTCTTCAGAGAAAAGCAGTACTCACTCTGCCTTGTGTCAGGAAGATGGAAGAACATGATGGCTCATGGAATTGACAACAGGTGGAAGTACTTTTTGATTTCAGACTCCGTGTGTGAATTCAGCCAGTTCTGAAGCCACTGGAAGTTGCTGAGCTTTTGTACACCAATCTGAGATGGAACTTGCCATTTCATGATCATTGGAGCTTATCTGACCAGTTCAGTCATTCCTTCCCACTCCTGGCCACACAGTCCTGACCTTTTTCCTTAGCTCTGGCCCTCTGTGCAAACTCTGGGGCTGCCCATGCTATCTTGCCTGACCCACAGGGTTTTCTTACCTTCTCAGTATAGTTTTCTGTCTGCATCCACAGAACTGTCCAACATCCATATCCAACAATTGCCAGAGCACGAGGTGACAGGCAGGGACAGATCAATGGTTATTACAGGTATGAATTTCACGATGAAGGACAGTAATCTTCTCATTTGCTCATTTCTGAGGCAGTGACTGGTGTAGGACTGTAGCAGATACATTTAGAGTATGACTCAACTCACTAAGTCCCTGAATGCATTACAGACCTCAGGATATTATGCTACTCTTCAGGATAAGAGTAATAAAAAGCTAGTGAGATACACTCATTTCTCATACGTTAACTGTATAGACTCTCTAAAAAGGCTTTGAGTGCTAATTCCCATGCATGGACTACTTTGGATTAAAAAAAAAAAAAAAAGTTAGGCTGTCATTTACATCACTTCATGGGTGTGTTGATAGCCATGAAAATGTGAACTGGACAAACCAACACTTCAGGATACAACGTGCCAGAGACAGTGTCTTCGAAAGATGTGAATCACCTTGTTTATTCCAATCCTGTCACTGAGAGGACTTAGGGGTACAAGCAGGGGATTTGTTCCCTACAGGCTGCGTGGCTCCTGGCGCGCTGTGCCTGCCTGGGCTCATTCCAGAGCTAGGAGCAGCCGACCAGCACTGGCCCCTTTGATAGCCTGCATTTGTTGGACTGAAGCTGATCCAAGCTGGCCTGGCTGCTTTGTCATGTGCCCCCTGCATTTTGGAGAGCAGACTCAAGTTTGTGAGTGCAGAAGGAGAAGGAAATAAGCACTTTCCCTACACCTCCAGGTACCACAGCGGGTAGAGAAATAATTGAAGGGCTTCTTCTGCATCTTTCTCCACTTAGGTGATGGGAGGGAGACCTCGTTATGCCTTATTAATGTGAGAAAATGAACCAAATATGGGACACATCTTACACTGCTTTCATTCTGTGTACAAAACTCAATGTACACAGAATGCAAGTCAGTTAGAGAGTTTGGATCCAAGAAGCAACTTCATTCATCAAAGGCGAGAACGAGTGTAATAAAAATGCAGATTTACATTTAGTTTATTCCAGCTCTTTGATACTAACTTTCAGTGCTTCCCTAATACAAAATATTGCAACTGTTCAATGATGGTACTACATGGTAGTGGTACCCAAAAGTGTGTATATATAAAAGGGAATATATAGCGTTCACTTTTTTTTTAAGAAAAGAAGAAATGGACATTCAAGAAAGCTGAAAAAACCAATCTAATTAAAACCCAGATAAAAAATTTTGGGTTTATATGGCATAGTTAACATGTGCAGCTCAGTGCCCCAAAATTGATGGTGCCAAATGCTTGAAATTATTTTTTTTAATTATTTATTGGAATAGTCAACGTATACATTTTGCTTTTTAAGGCTTGCATTTATGCATGAAGTATCTTGTTAACTGATATGAGACCAGAACAGAATTTTTCATTTGGACTTGGTGTTCCAGATGATTTTTCACCTACTTCTGAGCCAGAGCTAGTGGTATGTCCCTGAAGCATGATGCATCCTGGCTTGACAAGAATTTTAGAGACTGTAAAGCTGGAAAGAAGGACTTATTGCTGAATTTTTCAGTTTAACATTAATGCAATGCTATATAAAGTTCTGCAACAGTGCTTCTTTTTTCTTATTTTAGTGTCTGGTTATATTCCTTTTATGCTTTTGCTGTAAAAAAGTAAGTAGCTTCAAGCCAGACTTCCAGAAGCAAAAACCTCTGAGTAGTTCTAACCAAGGACTCAAGACACCCAACCTTCACGTATTACAAAACCCTTTGTGTGACATAAAAAGGGCTGCCTCGAAGAAAGTCTTTAGTTAAAACTGTTTTTTGAACTGGTTTTGAAATCAGTACAGTAATTTCTTTCCAGGTGTGGGGCACTTCAGAGGATTGTCTGCTAAGATATTATCACTTATTTTGTTAGTGAGCAAATGACACATATAAATGGAGACACTAAAGACTGGCGGTGGCAGAAAGTCTAAGCCTGAACTTAAACCATTGAATCATTTAGGTTGGAAAGGACCTTTAAGAAAGTCCAACCATTAACCTAGCACAACCAAGTCCATCCCAAAACCATGTCACTAAGTATCACATCTACATGTCTTTTAAATAACTCCAGGAATGGCAACTCACCCACTTCCCTGGGAAGCCTGTTCCAAAGCTTGACGGCTCTTTAGGTGAAAAATTCTTCCTAATATCCAATCTAAACCTCCTCTGGCACAACTTGAGGCCATTTCCATTTGTCCTATTGCTTGTTACTTGGGAGAAGAGACTGACACCCACCTCGCTACAACCTCCTTTCAGAGCCAATCTAGCAAAGCTTGGGATTTTTCTCCAGACTGTTTCCACACTTCTTTTAACAAACACACTCTTTTCCTTTCTTTGCATTTGCAAAAAACTGATACAGGCACAGAAAATGCTAAGAGATAATTTAAAGTTATATATCCCAGTCTCCAGGGAATATGTATATTGAGGTGGCCACCTACCGCTTCCTTGATAAAATTCTACGTTCGATTCCACTGAAATTCTCCTTTCTTCTCACCAAAGACCATGTGGTTCTGGTCAGAGGGGCTCTTCTTTTTTCCTACCATCCTTTCTTTTGACCAGAGGGAGCACTGGTTTGACCTGCAGTGGCAGTTCCTGTGTTCCTAAAGCTTGAGCATGAAAGTGAATTTTAGACACTTATTAATGACTGAAAAGAAGGATCTAAAATTAAAGTCAACTGGCACATGCAGTCTACTCCCCCGAGACACCATGAGGATAGAAATCTGCTGTGGGATCATTGCTGTCCAGGGTGTGAGGCAGAGCTTGATGAGTGCAAATTTGGTGGCTGAACAAAACTATGGACAAAAATTTTTGTGTGTGTGTTGGCCAAAATATTTCTGTTATGGGAGAAGAATCATTTGCAACAGAAAAAATCATTGCAGAGAAACATGCTATATCATAGGTTGGTAAAAAATTTGAGCTTCTGTTATTTTGGTCAAATTAATATATTCATGACTTTCAAGGAAAATATTTGATTTTTCAAAATTGAGTTTGGCAAAAGCTATGCTTTCCTTACAAGTGTTATTAAACCATGTTTATTTAATTGTTATTGATAGTAAGCTGGACTAACTTAGAGTGCAATATGCTGGGTTACAGAATACTTCCCCCACTGACAGTGGACTGTGAAGTTGCAAAGTCACTAGCGCAGCGCATAAAAAGTGAAGCCAAACCAAAAAGTGAGATCAAAGCAGAATGACATGGATGTTTAAAGCAGAGAAGGGAGACATCACTCCAGATTTTCTGGATTTGTCTAGAAATACAAAGGCAATCAAGAGGGAGCAAGCACAGATTCTTCCTCACAACATTGCCTCCAAGTGCAGCACTGTACAGGACATTGTTGGTGAAAGCAACCTGCTACAGGCAGGTTACGGTTTTGTCCTCTGTCCAGCCAAAACCTCAACTGTAATAAGATGAAAGCCTGATCTCCTGTCTGTGTCAACTGCATAGCATCTGGATGTGTTCCCAAACTGTTGCAACCCAATAAAAAGGATTAGAACTCCACTGTCTTTGACTGCAATGGCAGTTCTGCTTGGTGGAAAGTTTAACAAAAAATGGATATTGCTATCATCCAGTTTTTTGTATTTTCTCCACCTACAAAAATAACCCCTTCAGCCTTTTGACACCAGCACAGCCATTTCTTTAATTGAAGGGTCTCAAAGCACTTGAGATTCTAGGTGAAGAAACACCCTGTGCATACCCTTGCTAAAGAGACCTAAAAGGTTGCTTTCCCAGCACACCAAAGACTCATTTACAGTTGGCCAACCATGCTGAAATAACCTATATGAATAGTTACAAATACTATACAAATACAGTATTTATACTATATAAATACAGTGTACTATTAGTTTTCCTCTTCTCTTCCTTTTCCACATATTGCTTAGATTGTACATGTAGTTTACATTTGGGCCAGCTCCAGTCAACAAGTCCTAGAGTAAAATCTTGTTTCCATGTAGCTGCTACCAGTACTGGTCATTAACAAAACCCATATATATGTGCAATTTTAACTAATTTGGTCTAAACGAGTAAGCTGTGGTAACTTTGTCATCTATCTTGCTTACATCCAAATCTAGTCATTCTCCAGTAGGACCCATTCTCCTAGCTGCTATTTGAAAGGGAGAGGTTACTCGATGACTCCAGAAATATTCCTGCTCTGATTTTGCATCCAGCAGGCATAGGGAAGGACATCTTTCTGCAAATCTGGCTGGTTCCTGATTACATCGGCTCCAGGGCTTGGCCACAATTCCTGATGGCAGTTTCCAAGTGGTTACAAGCTGGTCCTGATTGTTTCAGGAATAAAATTAAATTTGCAGTTCCCCCAGTAACACACTGTGATTTGCTCAGGGACAAATCTGGACTGAGACAAGTCCAAGTTTCTCCTTTGTTAGGCAGAAGGGAAGTAAAAGTAGATAACTACAGTCACGCATATGAATAAGCCAGGAATTTGTGAAGAGATTAATAAATCATTATAAAGACCAGTAAAGTCTACTAAAAAGGACTACTGTCTGGCTACATAAAGTAGTGCATTATTATTGAGAGAGTTTTTTTGGATGTTAAATCAAATGTGAAATCTGTAAAACTCTGCTTTTCACTTTGATTTTTAGAAAGGATTTTTCCCCTGCTGTTGGCTGCTGGTTAAAACCATTTTTCAGAGATTAATTTTCACAAATGAATTTTGAAAACACAGAGGATGATATCCCATGATTTTTAAAATAATAGTAGTAATAACATACTGTCTGTGCATTGCTCTTAATCTCTGGCAGCAAAAACAGTCTTTCTATGTGAGCACTATACAAAAACTACCTCCAGTCCTTACTCAGGAGACATATAATCAGGTAGTTGTAGCACTTTTTAAAAACCTCTGATATTTTATTACAATGTAGCTAGTAATTTATCTTTAAAAAAAAAAAGTATTCTCTAGTATTATTGTGAAATGCATGCTTTATTCTCTTCCTCTCTGTATGTCTTTATATCTACACTGCATCAGTTGTCTGGAACAATGAAATATTTGACACATTAAGAACCCAATGACTCACTAGTGACAACTTTATTTCCTCCATCTATATAGCACAGCTGAAGTAATATATGTGTTTATGAAGTTAATATCACATCGGCACAAAGACCATCCAAACCCTATCTAATATGCCTAAAATTGTGATTCTCAAAGAAAACTGAATAGGCAGTAAGTGAATCATCCAAAGTTCATCTTGACACTTGCTAGACTCCAAATGTGAATTATGTATCTACCAGAACTGTAGTGAATAGATTTCAAATTAAATCAAAATCACACAGATAATGTGTGGCAGATACTGTTCTGAGCTGCAACATAAAAGATCTCAGGTGTCTTGCCTTTAAATTCAGTTATAAGCTGTATAATGACCCTATCTAGAGGTGTTCTGTAGCGCTACTACTGCAGTTGCACTTTCTATTGTATTCATAGTGAAACTGCAGCTTCCTTACATTTCTGCAGGAAAAACATTCTTTATTGGTAGGTTAAAAAAAAGTCATCTAGTGTACTGAGGCCCAGTCTCGGGAGAACCGCGACCAGATTCATGCGTTAGGAGCCTGGCAGACTGTATTAGCTGCAAGCACTAATCCCTCCTAGCAGCAACTACTGAGCGCAGTAGGTGAGAGAGAGGTGGGTACTCGTGCTCAGCACAGACTTGCAGCTTGCTTTTAGGGGTGGAGAGAGAGGCTGATCCGTGAGACAAATATCACATCGGCTTTCACTCACCCTTTCGCAGAAACATCCCAGCTTTTTTTGTTGGCCTTCCTGGCTTTCCACTCATGGGCGAGGAAGTGGCCCTGAGCTGTTCCTGAACACAGGCTGATCTTTCATTTACTAATTAGATCCTGTTGGTCTAGTGGGTAGTTTGGCACACGGACAAAAGCTCTTATAACCTCAGCTTTCCATCTGCAAAAAGGACTGTAACACCTATTTGTAATGTACTTTGAGGCATGCAATTTTAAGGAAATGTAGAAACTTACAAAATCTGTAAAATTCTCAAAGTATTGTATATCCTTGTAGTGACAGCAGTGACAGAGCTGTGCAAAACATACCGCTGAAGTGATGAGCCTCTGTGGCAGCTGCACTACCAGGTTCAGTCTGAATGGTTCTTCTCCTTTGCCGGGCTTCTAATTTTATACTTTGAGTCCAGATCAACATTTTGATGTGATCAGACTCTGCCCAACTGGAAACCATTTAACACCTGCTTTCATATGCATTATGTTGACTTCAGATTGTTAATTTTCAAATAGCTCTATGTAACATAAAAAGATTTCTACGACCTGAACCTGGACCTGAAGATAATATCTAACTCATCAGTTTCCAATGACCAGAACTGACTGTTCACTTCCAGTAAGAAAGGGCAGTTATTTTTTGACAGATACGCCTGATACAAGGCCTTCCAATCAGACAGCTGTCAACGCCTCAGAAATTGGGTCCCCCATGGGTTGTCTCCTCCCATTAAGACTTAAACCCACTCACAGAAGTTAAAAGGGGTTTTCCATGATAAGGATGCAATCCAGCCTTTTAATTTCCCAGCTGTCAAATTATATGTTGCCGTTTGAAAACATATCCTGTCTGTATCTGGGCTGCACGCTGTTCTTTCAGAAGTCCATATCTATGCAAACTGCTGAACATTATAGTTTTCTAAGTAATGTAGAAGCATTCTTTAGCTCTTACCTATTGGGGATTGTACGATTTTGTGTTTCTGAATTCCTAGGTTTGGGGCTCCGACTCCTTCTCCTCACTACATCAGCCCTCAGAGAATTTCAGTTCCACGTTACATGATGCAGAGACAGACTCCACAACCTCCCCACCTTCAGCAGCCTGCAGGAATGCCTCTAAAGACATACCAGCCCACAACAAACCCATCTTTTCAACCAAATAGCCTCCACATCCAAGGTAAGAAGGAAGATTCTTAATCACTCTTTTTAGTTTGTCACTGCTGCTTGGCTTCAATTTAAGTGCTTCAAGAGTATTTTTAAGGCACCTTTCCTTTTGAAAGATTCTGGGAAATAGCCTTCAGATCCATCCCTTCAGAATTCCTTAAAATTCTTAGCTTAGCTAATTGTTATTCATCGTACTATGGAGTTATGCTCTTCAGACCGATTTTCAGAGCTGCTTTTGAAATAGAACCGCAAATAATTCTGTGATGGCCTCTGCTTGGAATTTTCTAATGTTATCCTCCTAATGCCTCCTCACTTTACACGTAAAGTCTTACCAGATGAGGTGAACTATTTTTCTCCCTTATACTCGAGGAGTGGTGGAGACCTCTTCTTCCATTAGCATACAAGTCTCTTACAGTTGTATCCCACTCATGCTGTGTAAAAGAGCTTCTACAAGATTTCTGTCTCCCTCTTTGTTCAATCAAATCTAAGCTTCTGTAGCCAAGAAGAAAATTAACAGCAGCTGAAAAGAATGTTGGGCTGTTTGTTGGGGGGTTTTTTTGTTTTTCTAGCTGGTATGGAGTCTGGATGGTAATTACCTTAGCATTTCAGAAATGTGTTGACAGCACTAATGCTGTTACCTCTCAATGGTCTAAGTGTATACTTTCCCATATTTATGTCCACAAGGTACATAGCACACTGGACTTTTATAGGCCTTGGGATTCTGCTTTTTGACCAGGCTTCCTGAGATTTATCACAGTAGATATCATTGAAAACATCTTGAGAAAACCAAGGCTTCTTTTATTTTCTTCCACTGATGGAAGCAGTCTCTCTAGGCAGAGGGATGAGACAGGACACTGAGGCATCTTCCAGAGTTCATGCGTGTGAAGGGGAGAAAGGAAGGTTCCAGTCCTGGTTTTCTTCTTCTTATCGTACTAGACCACATGTGAGCAGGATCTGAGCCAGGTGCTTTTCTTCAAGGAACTGGTAATCCTATAGAGCACTGATTGGTACTAGAAGACCATGAAATTTACCAATGGATGTTATTTTTTGGCTTTTTCTATTCTCTGATCAAAGTTTCACTATTAACCTAGGGTCGACCGACCGAGTAGAGGATGAAATTTATTAATAAACTGTTCATTGTTATATGGTGTATGCAAAGATATGCCAGAGCAGGCCCAATAAATTCCTAGCATATGGGGCATGAAGGTATCAGATTAGCCTTCCTATTTCCACAGTACAATACCTTTTACTCCGTTCCCTTTTTTGCTGAATATTTGGCAAGAACTCATCTTCCAGAAAGATGGGAAGAAAAGGAAGAAAAATTGCCTTTGAGTGCATACATAGATGGCTTGATCACCCTCTTCCTCCCATGGTCATGGGAGCTTCAATAATTGTAGAAACCAGGATCACAACTAGTTGCTTCAAAGTTAATCAGTTTCCAAAGAATCCTGACTCCTAGAAGCTCACAGATCACCTCAAATTGGTTGCTGCTCCATACAGGACTTGCACTGGCTGGTGCAGCTAGCTCCATTATCTGCTCAGGCATCTTCTCTCCAGGGCAGGCCAGAGTGATACTACTGTATTCCCATCTCCCCTTCCTACAGTCCACAAAGGATTTAAAAGGACAAAAGACATGGGTCATTAAAACCATTATAAGAAGAAGGCCCAGTAGAAACCCTCATCAGAGTCAATGTCACATACAGGCTGAAGCCCCATTCCACATCCAAATTTAAGATAGAGCTTCATACTTCCGTCTGAGTGGATCAAAAAGTGGATAACCTCAAGGGCTTGGAGCTTAAACCCAGATCTTACTTAGTCCCACCTTATCGTTACTTTGTTTGCTTCCCAGTCCTCGGAAAACCTATGTTGAAAATAGACATTGCTGACAGGAATATATATGCATAGAAAGCAACTCAAACTTGTAATTATAAAGATCTCTGCACTTAAAACCAGTAGGAAGACAACGTGGACTGAAAACTCTATTTATTTTTTTTAAGTATTGAAAGATTTAATACATTTCAATACAATCACCACATTTGGGTTTTAAATGATCTTTCAAAGATTAAGTAACCTATTGTCACTATAGGAGGTGTTTTGTCAGATTGTACTCCCTCCAACTTAAGCACAGCTGTCTCACTCCTATGTGCTACACTAAAAGCTTTGTTTGTGCTGTGTGCCTCAAAGGCTTGCCTAAACTCTCCCTCTCAAAAGCAAATGTTTCAAGAGTTCATGGTCATGTTTTCCCAGCAGCAATACGAAGATTGTCATCTTTCTTGGTCACATCATTATAACGTAGAAAAACACCATAGAGTTATATCACCAGCCTGGACTATATGGTATACATAAGAAGCTCTGTTAGTTTCTGTCTCCTGTTATTCAATACTCGAGTTTTCATGATTTAAAGTGCTGTAGCTGTAGCCACTTCAGCTCAGTCCACTACCAAACAATGGTGACATTTCTGTCTCAATGTGTGGTTTTAAACTTGTCAACTCCATTTAAACTGGCTGCACTGAGGAAGAGAGTTTCATTGCCTGTAAGCTTTTTGAAGAAAACAAGTTCTAAACAGACTCCCTTACTGAAAGCTTGAGCATCTTAAAAGCTCATGGAGATCTCAGAGCACTATCCTTTAGAAAGAAATTATGTAACAGATACAAGACCGACAAGCCTCTTATATCTAATAGCTACTTGTATTGTGAAACTGCTTTTTCTTAGAAGAACATTATCTACAGTTCATATTTTGTTGAGTGATTTTCAGCATCAGATACACAGGAATGTCAAAGATGCCTTGGTTAGTATCATATAATAAATATTCCCTTTTCTTCCTCTTGTGAAATTCTCAATTTTTTTGCCGCATGGGATGTTTGGAAGCGATGATGTTAGAGGACTCGCTCAGCTACAGAAGTGAAGCTCTTTCCTTTCATTGGACTGTAGTACCTCTTATTGGATTACCATGGGTAGTAAATCTGAAACTATCCTGCACTGGAGACTGGAGTGACGACTTCCCATTCTCTCCACACCGTTGTATGCCATTGGACTATGCGTTTGTAGACAGGGTGGAAGACAGTACACATCTTAGAAATCTGCAGCAGTTAGCCCAGGACTTTTATTGTACTGATGAGTCTTTTGAGCCAAGAACAACTACAGGGATCTCAGCGGAGGTACCTGAAGACACAGGCAATTGCAGCACGCAGGCTGCTTCAAGAATAAGGTATTACTCTGAGGCGAGTCAGAAAAGATGCATGAGGTAGGAAAGAAAATAACAGCAATAGAAACTCCTCCGTCACAGCGAGCAAGCTTCTCACTTGCTTATAGCGTAGTGAAGTAAAGATCCTTTGGGCAATGACATAGCTGACACAATTTTGAATGCTTCTGATACTGTGAGCTTCTTCTTACTAAAAATCTGGCTGTCCTTTAAAGTTGTGCCTGTAACCCATGCCATTTGTGTTTGTGAGTTAATCTGGTGACCAGTGCTGGCTGAGTAATGGAAGAAGTTAAAACGTCATGCAAAATGTTTAGTAAAAAAAAAAAGTTCCCATTTATTTAAAAAAATTGTTAGCTGGTGTGAGTTAGCTATACTAGTGTATCTATACAGGCAGCTCTACCAGTAACAGTTATCTTTTAATTAAAAATAATCAGATTTAAATAAATAGAAACATTTTGGGTTTTTCACATGTGCAAGTCCACCTGGCAGTACAATACGTAACTCATATCTCTGTCTTACTCTTTCTTTTCCTTTTGTTCTTCACACTCAGATGGTACCAAATGATTACTTGATGTTCATGTAACTCACCTAGTGGACACTGTAGAAATAAAGTGCAGAGGAACACTATTTTGAAGTAGTTCAGGCCAAAGACAGCTGAAATTTTTACATACCCTAACAGTAAAGACTACTGACCCATGATGTTTATTTCTTAATGGCAGTTATAATGACTTTCTTGAGAAAATATTCTCTCTCTTTGGTGCCAGGGAGAGAGCTGAATGAGAAGGAAATATATGTCCATCAGAAACTTCCTACGTATGGAAATGACAACTGTGGCAGTCATTTGTTACACAACTGTAATGAAATCTTTGTCCACATTAGTTCAATGGGATTTGTCACAAACTGTGGACCATGATTTCAGCTATGAATTTGAGATGGGCTGTGTACCTGGGATTCTCAGATGCTCAGCATCTCTCAGGAAGAGGCTCTGTATGTGACAAAGAATGAGAGCTTCTTTCTTTCAGAAGAGATTCTTGCACTATTCAGCTGTTTAATCTTATATAAAAATGCTTAATTTTCTTTAGGAAATAATGCTATCATGCCAGAAAAATAACTGTTTCTTCTGTGTCTTGACATCATGGATCTTGCCTGTAGTGTACTGATTCAAAGAAAGACAATTGACATAACCTTGTGGGTGCGTGTGTTTTAAATAGTTTAATAAGAGAGCAACTGATGCAATCCAGAGTTACAGTCCTGAGAAGAGATATTCAATTGCCTTTTTTATTTTTCCAGTGATGCATGAAAACAAAGAAAACTGATGCTACAGATAGTTCTCTAACAGATAATCTCAAACGAGGAGCCAACTGTGGTCAGGGTCTAGGCCCTGAACTGCGTATGGTTTCACGTTATCCTACGTTGAGCAGTAGTGCATATCATCTTAGGCATGGCACCATGTGAATAAAGAAACTCTTGATACCAAATTAGGAGATTTTGTTGTATCATGTTTGGGCTCCAGTTCAAAGACCTCTACATGGGGACCTGATTCATTGTATATGTGGACAGAGACATTTAGAATAGTGCTAAATAACCGAGGTGGAAAAAACGATGTATGCTGTGGTCTGCTCTTTCCTGTTTATGGCTCTCCATTTTTATAAGATGGGTATTTATGAAACTGAATTGTGAAAAGAACATGTATCTAGTAAAGCTGAATTATGTCTTTGTGCTCATTTTAATCTTAAAAAATTATTTGGGAGTCTATCGGTTAATGAAAGTGCTTTGTGCACTTCCCTGGTTCTTTCTGCAGTGTGTTAATGTACCAATGGGTCAAAGCCTGTAAGACTTTGCTAGACAATATTCTCTTGCTTAAGGGAATGAGCAAACACAGAGGATGTGACTCACAATAGCCCAACCCCAAGGTAGGTAGTTTTTCTGCCAGACTTCAGCAAGCAATAGTCAAAGTTACTGCCAGATTTTTCTCCATCAGGAACGGAATGCTGTGAGAAGGGCACAAATAGAGAATGAGCACAGACCAATATGAAAGGACATTTCAGAGAGTGTCTTGAAGGGTCTTGCCAGCTGGCTTAGACCACTATAGATTGAAATGGTTGTTTCTGGTAACCAGTCTGACTCAACAGTAAACTTGCACAGTGTGTCCTGTTGCTGGTTGAGAGAAAAATTGATTTTAAAAGCATTTTTAAAGGAGGCAAAAACTGTCAGTAGCTATGCAGCTTCTAAGTCAAGTTTTACATGGCTATTGTTTTTTCTTTCATTTTATTTTATTTTACTACAGTTGATTCTTAAATGTCAGGACTGAACATTTACGGATTGATGGGTTGTAAATTCCTAACATGCTTTGCAGTATGACTCAGCTTTGTTGCAGTTAAACTTTAAAAGAAAAAAAAGATTGAAATCATCATCTTACAGCTAGGTATGCAAAGTGCCTGCAGCCCCTGCAAAAGACAATGAAATCTGTGAGCCTCCAGCCTCCCTAGAGTAAGGACAGAGTCTGCAAGTTGTGCCTGCTGTGGAAGAGGAACCATGATTCTATTTTTTATTTTTCTTTCTTTTATTTTTCCTCCCCCCCCGCCCCGACTTATATATCAAGTCTAAATACTCTTTTTTTCATGCAGGTTTCAGACATAACAGTGACAATTGTTTCAGTGTTCTGTCATGTAACTGTTTGACTGATCTAAACTCATTGTGTATATGTAAGTTAGGCATTTATCTCGTGTCTACACAGAAGTGTCTTGCAAGACTGCTAAATAAAAAGCAAAAACTGTTTTTCACTCATCATTGTTACGTAGACCTCCCCCCATAAGGTCTTTTCTGAGTTTCCAGGTTTGTTTCCTGTCTTTTCCTGTCCATAGTACTGGCCAATTCTGCAGCTTTTAAATATTGAGATTTCTCTTTCAATTCAAGCATATCTTATGCATGCCAACATTTGAATGTTTCCTCATGGAGACCATAGAAATGAGTCTCAAACGAAAAATAATTAGAATCATAAAACTCCTAAATCATGCATCCGTCCTCCCACTTGGCAGAAAATCAGCTATATCACATGAAGTGATACAGCATGATTTCCACTGCATCCTTCTTCCCCCATCACTATTATTTATGAAATGCATTAACAGTATGTAAACACTCAGTGCAGATTTAGGAAACAGCAGTATCATGTGCACACTTCCATAGGAAATTAAATGGAAATATACCTTGCTCCTAGGCATGATCCAGAAAAAGCTTGCCAAGTGCCTTTTGTTCATAACATGTTTCTAAGCATAGGCTACCCCGTTATTATTTCTAATTACTAGTAATGAATTAATAGGCCAAGAGTTATGGTCAGGTGTTATATAATAGCCAAGATATTTAGGCATATCCCTGTCAAATATCGATAGGCTGTGATTCTATGTTTCATGCTTCCCAGAAAAGGGTCTTCTCTGCTTCTTCTCTCCTATCCTCTGGGATATCTTCTTGATCCTTTCTGACCTGTTAAATGGCACCCAAAGGCCTTTTGTCATATGTTTCTCACCCGAACATTCCATTACTTTTAGGGATGTTTTTCAATCCCTCTTTTCCCCTTTTTCCTGATGTTGATGTTTTAAGGGTTTACGGAAGATTTTGTCGTTGTTTATTTTTATTGATCTTTCTAAAATAAAAGGAAATTCAGCTGGAAGGACTTTGTCATATGGATGTTGGTTGACTAGACTGTCCAGAGGGAACGGCCCTGTGCGTCAGCTTTTTCTAATGACAGTAGTGTCTGTGGAATAAACTTGAGACACAGGAAATTCCTTAAGATGCTTTCTGAGGTAGGGGGTCATTTTTCTGACAGTGGCTTTTTGTGACTTACCACAACATACTCTTCATCAAGAGAATAGCACACCAGCCCTTAGGCAATAAACTGTTTGCTAACAAAGTCTTCAGAGACTGTATTCACTCCTGGGCCTATTTTTGGACAGTCAAGGCCTACAATTTCTATGTAACACCTCAGAGTTAATTCACTGTCTTTTTCCTTTTTCCTTTATACATGGAAAGGGAGTGGTGTGAGCAAGGAGTCACAGCACTGACGGAGAGGAGCTTGATTCTTTCTTAAAAGAAAAATATGTATATGTTGTAATACTGAATTTATAATGGTTTCATTTCTGACATATACTCTAAAACATATTATAGAAAACAGAAATAAATGCATACCAGTCTTTTACCTATAAAAGCCATCATTCAGACTGAGAAAAGCCTCCAAAACTTAGACTTAGCAGGAATTTTTAAAGGAGGAGAAAAGACCTTGCTTCCATGAGAAAAATCTTCAGGCCAAACTACTGAAGAACATCTGTCTTTGCCTCTTAGACTGCATACACATTCCTGTTTTACCAAGAAGCATGGCTGTGATTATATTAATATATATTTTAGCATGGACTTCAATGTGAATTTACCCAGTGCTTATATGCCTCTCTCAAATATCACTTAAGGAACAAAAAGCAACTGAAAGAAGAAAAGCCTGGAGGGGATCTTTTATGTCATGTCACACAATAGTCTTGGTTCTCTTCCATGTGGACTCATTGCTACCAGTAAGCAGGCCCCATTATCACCTTGCAGCCCTTCTGAGTCTCTTATGCATGTCCCCACTATCAGTCAGCTGTCTTGGCATCGGTGACAGACCCTCAGATTTTATTCAGACCTTGCTTGGGTAATCTTCCTTTATTTTGAATTAAGCAATTTCTTAGGTTTTTCAGGCAGCAGCCCAGTGTGAAATCTGCAGAGTACCAGTTCAGCGTGCAGGACTGCAGAGTAAAGGACAAAATTTCTTGAAAAATTTCAGCTTCTACCCAATCAGTGCCTCTCACAAGTCATGCTGGAATAAGGATGTCCATGAAGCAAATTGTGTGTGGAATTAGTAGCAACTGGAGAAAGTCTTAGGGACCTTCATATCAAAGTTGCTTTATTGGTAGAAAATAATTTAAATCCTGGTGCTACTGCAGTCAAGGTTTTTATTGTTCTCCCAGCCATAGGTCCACATGATGTCTCTTGTGTCTCTTGTCCAGGTGTTTTACTGACCACTTTCTTCTCCTTGTTGTAGGATTTTATGGGCAGCTTCAGACTTTCTGCCCTCCACATTATGCTGACAGTCAGAAGAATGTACAACATGGTGTTTCTTGCAATATGGTTCCTTCTTTTGAAGACTGCCTAGTTCCCACATCAGCAGGCCAGGCAGGGCTTGGTATTTTCCATCGAACTTTTTCAGCTCATTCTGGTATAACAGGTAAATGACAGCTGGGGACTTTGTGGATGGTTGTGTACAGTTTTTGGGCTTTGACAGATCTTCTCAAGCTGTGTATGTGACCGGGACCTGTCATGACAGACTTGACTCTTCACAGAGAGGAGATGTTCTTCAGACCTTTGTGGAGGTCACCATGGGTCACAGTAACAACTGGCCTGTGTGCAGACTGCAGACTGTTGAGGACCTCTCAAGGTTCTAACCTGTGGGGTCAGATAGTCAGTAGCTTATGTATTTGCTTTGAAATATAGTCCATTGTGCCCCATGTGATAACTGCACAGCCACTCCACTCTGCTGTAAGTATTGTAGCAGGGACCTGAAATTATTCAAAACACTGATTTTGCTTTATGCATGTTTGATTTTTCTCAGTCTTTAATTTCATTTATTTTATTTATTTCATTTCCATGACAAGAACTGTCTGGGTGCACACTTTCCTGTACATGAGTGATTTAGTCTTTGCCTAGCTGAGAAGTACATAAGGGGCTTGCAGGCTGCTCTGGGCGCGTGAAAGTTACCTCTGTTTCAAGGATCAGCACAAGACAGTGGGTGTAATCCTAGGGACTAAGCACAATTGATGCCTTCCACACAGGATGATTTTACTTAACATTTATTGTGCTTTGAAATTTCGTTTACGTCTTGGTCCTTCAGTAAGGGCGTTAAAAAGCCAGTGCACCTGTAACTTCAAAGAGGCATGTCTCAGCATGTAAAGATGTAATCCAAAAGTTTTTGGGATTTTTTCTGCAAACAGCTACTATTGTTCTTACTGCTATTGCTTGTAGAAGTTAGTAATTTCTGTGCCAGTGTCTGCTTAAAGCAAATGAGCTCTACAATATTTTATTGCCTCTTATCATGTGTTGGGTATGATGAAATTTGATTAGCAAGCATGAAGTTTGTTTTTAAAATTATCACAACATTAGCACCCATTAAATGGGCAACTGCTAGTTGTGATGAAATCTGATGCACTTCAGACTTGATTCTAACAGAACTGAAATTCCTCCCTTGGTAAGCACTAAGTTACGTTATTATTAATTTCTTACATATGTTGTCTTGTTTGTTTTATTTGTGTATTTGATTTAAAGCCATTTCTAGTAATCTGTATTAGGACATTATCCATGATATAGTCATCCTAATTAATTAAGTAATTTTGTATTTTTTTCCAGTTTATGACTTTCCAGCAGGATCCACAGGTATCTTCGGTGATTCAGCTCGCAGCATGCCAGAGGATAGCAGTTTCCTACAAGTAAATGCAGTAGATCGTTGTTCTAGCCAGCTTTCTTCTGTCTACACTGAGAGCTAAAGTAATATAAATCTAGTTACAAGAACTTGATTCCATTTCATCTTGCCTTTCTGATATTTCTCTACAAAACTTTTCTCTCCATGAAACTGCCACGTATGTATGGGGATATGGGTTGATATACATACATAATGGAGAGGGAAAAAGCAATCACTGAGCATTCATCAAGCAGTCAACTGAGAAGCAGAATGTTTGGGGCAAGCAAGCTTTGCCAAAACTTTAGCAATTGTTTCGTTTCTCTTCATCTGTGGCACAGCAACTCTGCTTTTTTTGTTCTTTCTTTTTAATTTCTCAAAGGGAATTCATAGACTGAATAAGAAAACTACTTGTTGGCTGTAATCCTTTCAATCTGAATGGAAGAAGAACTGAAGAACACAGCTTTAGAAAATTCCTTTATTTTTAAAAAAAGAAAAGGAATAGAAGTAAAACCAGACCATGCTACAAACATTTCAAAGGCGCACAGCTCTTTGCACAACCTGTTTGCATATGATGCTTCCAAAGTTCAACACACACCAGCATCAAAAAGGGAGAGAAATTAGACATACATCCTGCTCCTACCCACTGGAGGCATTGGTGCGGCTTCATTTTGGAGCCAAAGATCATTGGTACTGGATTTCTTACAGGCCTTGGTTTACCTGTCTTTTCCTTCCCTCTGTATTTTAAGCCATACAATATGGCCATTGCTGTTTTTCCAATGTTCCTTCTGACCCAGTGCTTTATGCAATGAATAAGAAGGGTTGAATGCACTACATGAGAAAGTACATGGACTTTTTCTATATTTAGCACAGCTGCTAGGTAAGAATAAATATGTTTTAATTTTCTGTTGATTTTTAATTATATTTTAGAGCTTTATTGCTGTATGTGCTATGGTACTCTGTAGGAAGGTTTAGAATACCCTGTAGAAAAGATTATTTCTTAAATTCCACAGATTTCTTTAAAAGCAATCTGTACTGATTCAGTTAAATTCTTGTTGCCCTAACATTTTTCATTTCCATGCCACATGCTATGTTCCCTCTGGTTATTTAGTGAGCAAAACTGAACCGGTTTGATGGTCTTGATTTTTCTACTCAATGTCAGGCTCTGGTCCTTGAATTTAGTCCAGGATGCAAGCAAATCAGGTTACTTTTTCTGAAAGCTACAAGGGTCTGAGTTAAAGACAGTATTTTGCAGTGGGGATGTGTTGTCACTGTGATCCTATATACCTTGGGAGCAACTCTTACATTATGTAAGACTGGATTTTTAGGTTATTGATGCTTGTTCATCCGTTTTGTGGACTTCTTACTGTGTAGTGTGCATCTCAATATTCTCATGACATCTAATAAGAAGGACTTCATAAGCACAAAAATATAAAGTTCATTCTTACAGGCTAGACCACAACTATGCTTCTGAAATCACTCCTCTAGAAAGATGAATTTAAAAAATATTTATACAAACATTTCCTTATCATGAGATGCTTTTGAGAGTCATTGAGTGCAGTTTGAGACAAATTCATAGTTGTATTTGCCATTATGCTGCATAGATGAATTTATGTCCAGATGTTTATAAATACTGGCAATCTTTTGAAGTTTATATTAATGAAGTATATTTTTATATACAGGCATATGTGCTTACATATTTGATGGAGAGGTTTTCATCCAATAAATACAAAGAATATATGGATAAAGTATGCCCATAAATGATGTACAATAAGAGGTAATATGGCTTAAATACAGATAATTCTGCACTAAATTCTCCCCCCTTTTATTCTGCTTTCACATCACAAGTTTATGTGTCCCTCTGTTTCAGTTTGCAAAACTAGGTCTATATGGGTTTTATTGAGGTAAATTACACCAGGCTTCCCTACACAGCTGTGCAGACCCAGGCAGAAAGACAGCCCTTTTGCATTAGTGTATGATCTGGCCCAGTGTGTTGACAGCAACTTTCACTTTTTAATAAAGCTTTAATCTTGTGTTATCTTAAAGCCCATTCTGTGGTCACTGCACATGCATAACTGGGTTCAGCAGGAGTAATTAGACATGCTGAACTCTTCAGTTTCAAATGTGTAGGACAATGTTTTGTTCCATTGAAATCAATCAGAGCAGAATCAAGCCCAGTGTTTACCTATGTATGTATACGTATATACATAGTTTTGTGTATATAAATCCCTCAAGGTTCTTTTAATGAGTTGATTATCCAGAATTTGTCAGTTGCTGTGTATGAAACTGGAATATTGCTGCTGACTTCAGATCTGTATCACCTTGACTTTTCAATCTTTTGAGATATTTTTTGTGGTGTCTGAATGTTCAGGCTCTCCTGTTGAGAGGCGGCTTTACACATCATGAAAGATCCTGACCAAAGGGAAAGTGGGAAGACCAAATTCAAAAAGGGTATTCGTAATTTGGGGATTTATCAGTTACACTTAAAAAAGGAAATTTTTGCTAGTCATTCATTCATTTTTTCATTCATATATATGTATAACATATATATTTACAACTTTCTATGAGCCTTAATCTTGAAAAGAAGGAGCTAGAGTACAATCAAATCAAGCACATGAGAGTGGGCTACAAGTCTGTAAAAAAGTACACCTTTGTTTACTTCTGTGTCAAAGAGAAAGAGGATTCTTTATGATTATTTCATTATTCTCTTTCGAGTCAGACTGACTTTGGGGGATCAGCTTATATCACTGAGGAACACTTTATATAAAAGAACCATTTTGTCTCAAGTATTTTGGATGTTTAAATAGGGAATCATGTTCGTCACATATTACAATGAAAAATGGTGCTTGTGAAAATACATAGCGTGATTCCAGTTACTGACTTTTATACCAATACTTGTGCCTCAGTGATTTTTGTGTTGTTATTCTACTTTCTGGATTGTTAACTTTCTAAAGGGATTCATATCTAAGCAATGAAGTTATTTTACACTATGGACATTAAACAATATGCTAATATTCATTCTTTTATACAATTTTCTTGTTTTCAGACTCGAATAGTCTATTTATATCTGCATTAGAAATGGGTCTACACTGGAGTTCAAAGTAGTTTCAAAGCGCATGTGTACATGTGTGAGTGTATGCACATGCATGTGTGTATTTGGATCTGCTTTTCTGTGTATATATATGCATGTATATATACACATATACATATAGGCATTACGGTTTGCTAATACTGGATGCTGAAGTACTGCAGTGCTAAGGCCATCTGTCACATTGTATTTTGTTTTCAACTTTCTTAGAAGAGGTGTGAATGAGTATAAGAATTACATTTTAACTGTTTATTTCCTGTTTTCCCTGTGTAATTTTACAGCAGATTTTTAAACAGCACTTTTTTGTGGTTTGTGTGAAATTTTGTTGTTGTTTTTTGTTTCGGTTTGGTTTTTATATTTCCTAGGAATAGATAAAGCAAAAGAAAAAGACAACAATTTAAAATTAGCTGGGTGGGGTTTTATTTGAGAAGAAGATCTCTTTATTGTGTACAGGAAGCAGCATATTGTGTAATTTTTTTTACACAAAGCACTTTGGTGAGGAGAAAAAGTGGGAGTATGTTTTTCCTAAGCCTTACAGAGTATTCTACATATTTATACATGCTTACATATACACAATTGAATTGTTTGCCATTCTGTATATCTGGCTGATATTTGCTCTAAAGATATATCTGTTGCATACCATGAAAAATAATTTTTCAAAAGAATTAGCTACACTTCTTTCTCTACTAGTATGTATAATTTTGTGATTTGTTACAGTTATTTTTCATATAATCATAAGTTATTTTTGTCCTGTCTCATAAAATTCTTTTTTATGTAAGAGGTAAAATTGAAAGGTGTATATGCATGGTACAAAATAAAACTGGGAAATTATAACTAAATGACATGACCAGTAGAATGTCTTATTGTGAGATGCCTTTAAAGAAGACTACTGCAGCCATTGTCCTTCAACATAAAACTACTAGTATTGGTATGGATTAGTATAATTAGAAACAGAAATAGAAAAAAAAAATCTCAAAGATTTCTTCTAAAAAACACTTGGGTCAGAGTCTGGATTTAATTATTGTTATAGTGAGGCTAGAGATTTGTAAAGATAAATGAATGCCTCAGTGTGTGTTTACACCCTGGGTGGAGACACAAATAAAAGAACATTTCATTACATTTTTGTGCTGTGATAATTTTTATTGGTTTCTTTGTTCCTGTGGTTCTACAGTGCAACACATAAAGGGATTTTGCTTGTCTGTCTGGTTATCATTTCTAACTCAAGCATTTAAGAAGTTATTTCAGAGCATTTAATGTGAGGGAAAGAACACTATTTTTGGTGTGCATTAGGCAAAATGCTAACAAAGATAGAGACAGAAATTGGTGCATGCTAATGTTCCTATTGTCCAAAACACATCCTAAGAAACTAGCATGCTTAGGAAATAAGAGATTGCCATTTACCACACCCATAAATTAGACTAGAAAGCTAAAGACAAAATACAAACTAATAAATTAATTAAGGGGAAAAAAATCCTGTTACGTGTTTGCAAAGAGACCATTGAAAATAATGGCCCAGCCTGATTTTACTATGAAATTATTAGCAAGGTTGACTCTGAGTCAACCATGAGCAGAACAAAAACTAGAGAGCCCAAATTCACTGACTGGTATACATGTGAACTTTACTAAAAAATGAACTTTGCCCAGTGTGTTCCTGTTTACACTGCATCTTAATTTAATGTGGGAAACTTACCTCATGGTTTAGCAAATATTGTTAGTGAATCCTTCAAGCTACCATGAAGAACTGAGGATTTCTGAATTCAAGTATTTAGGAATTTAGTTCTTCTTTTTGATATAGACAGGACCCTTAAAATGAGAAGTATACAAGTTCTGTACGCAATAGGGACAAACATGGCTTAAAATTCCTCAAAGCCAAGTGCTTTTCTCCGGGTGCCTGAGCCTGATCATGTTCTCATTATGTCTGGCAAACCTTCATATAGCAAAATAATGAAGTGTAGTTAGGAAATTTGGTGACAGCTATGTTTCTCCAGAGAACATAATTTCTGAATGAAAGTTGCCTGAAGTTCTTATTCTATAAAGTGTTGGTGTTTGTTTTTTTCCTATTTCAGGACAAAGCCCCAATTTGAAACATCCGAATTTCTCACAAGGTGGAAATTTGGGGGTGAAGGGTTAGTGTGGTTATTATTCCATTGCTTGTGTGTAGTTACAGGAGTTCTCCGATGCACCTGTGCCGAGGCCACAGTGAGTTCCTGAATTTATACCGTCTCTGCCCTGATGGAAAATAGTTAAATAAAGGTCTGTTTGCTATACAGCTATCTCCTTCAATTTGAGGGGAAAAAAACCAAACCATATTATTTCATTCTCAATATGATTGTAATCTTATTTACAGCACCTAAATACAAGATATCTTGTATTTGGAGTTGGAATGACTATGTCTGTATGAAAACACAACTGTCCATTTTTCTAGGCCATGATCCTCAGGAAAACCCTTCTTTGTGTTCAGACTTCCTGTTTCCTACCTTGGATCACTTTATCACCCCAAATAACATCAAACGCATTTTGAATTACCTGATTTTTAAACTCTGTAAACCGCTGTAAATAAGCTTCCTCAAAAAGCAGCTTTAAAAAGCTTCTTCCATAATGAACATTCTTAAAGTGGACAACTTCTGCATGACTGTGTATACTCACTCACTGCAATAGATAGCTACAGGAAATAAAGTGGTGGAGTTAGTATTACAGAATGAACACCTTTAGCTTTATAGGATTGCTGTGTTTCCTTCCAAAAATAATAATTTATATTTTTCCTCTACCGTCCTTGAAACTATAAGTATGAAAAATTGTTCTACCACATCTTCCCATGCCATTTATAGATTTACAACCAAAGTAAATTTACCCTGCAGTCAGTATCATTAATGATTCACAAATGAGAAGGCTAGTTCACTGAACTGTAACAAAGAATTCCTTTCTATGTGTCTAGTTAAAAGTTCTAACATACCTTTGTTATAACTAGAAAATGCAAATCTCATGCATGGTTGCAACTAGGTACACAGGATAAAGCATTGCAAGTACATCTAGGGAGACAGAAGAAAATATAACCATTTCCTCAATATCACTCGTTTCCCTTTTGTACTTGAACCTACCAAACAGTGGTCACACTGCAGGCTTGGTTGCACATGTAAATCATCCAACTTCAGCTATTCCAGGAATGGACACAAGGAGGTTGATTAAGCTCAGGAAAGCCAGGATGACCTGTCCTCCTCATTCCCTGAAATTTGTCTGAAAATTCAAGCATAAACCTGTTGGAAAAACACAAACTTGCTCTAGAACTGTGGCTGACATATTTACAATCACAAAACCAAAAGACTGGCAGCATTATGATTTCACCTGTTAACCCACCACTTTGCATAGCACACAGTTGTAATTATTCTGTATCTGCCTTTAGTTGGAGGAAGAGGAAGGATAATTTGTTGTAATGGAAGTTAAATTAGTAGGGCCTGAGTGATGATCCTAGACAAAAGTTAAAGCAATAATACTGGGAGAGTTTATCCATCAAGGAAGTGGGAACAGTGTTACACAGCCCCATTATTGCACTAAACCTTTATTCAATTTGACTTTTACCCAAGGAGGAGTCAAAACATTTCTGCAAAATGGAAGCTTAAAATCTGTAGAAGCTGCATTCTTTCACTTTTTTTTTCAATTGCTCTTTAAAACCCAAAGAATCTTGGATAAAAGTTGACTGGTTTCATTTTTCTCTTTTATGACTTCGTTAAGACAGTCCACAAAAGCATTAAACATGGCAGCAATTTTGTGATCTAGATATGTATTGAATAGAAACTGTATTAAAATGATTAAACTAATTTTAGGGAAGCTGCTGAAACAGAATCTGCACAATACCAATGATTTCTATCACAATTACTCAAACCAAACCTGAACCAACATTTGCAATGAGATGAGATTACGTAACCGATAGAAATGCTATAGAAAGTTAACAGAAGGACAACAGGACATTTAACATACAGGAACAAGTTGAAGCTAAACTGCTTGGTCTGATCATTTTTTTATGCCTTACTGATGGACTTGTTACTTCCATTGTATGAATTTATATGAAGCCTGTAACCAGTGGTGTCCCCCAGGGGTCAATACTTGGACCCGTGCTGTTTAATATATTCATCAGTGACCTGGACGAGGGGACAGAGTGTATCCTCAGCAAGTTTGCTGATGATACCAAACTGGGAGGGGTGGCTGACACCCCGGAGGGCTGTGCTGCCATCCAGCAAGACTTGGACAGGCTGGAGGGCTGGGCAAGGAAGAACCTCATGAGGTTCAACAGGGAAAAGTGTAGGGTCCTGCACCTGGGGAAGAAAAATGTCAGGTACCAGTACAGGTTAGGGGTGGACCTGCTAGAGGCAACTACTGAAGAGAAAGATCTAGGGGTCCTGGTGGACAGTAAAATGACAATGAGTAAACAGTGTGCTCTTGCGGCCAGGAAGGCCAATGGTATCTTGGGTTGCATAGGGAAGAGTGTAGCCAGCAGGTCAATGGAAGTCATTCTCCCCCTCTACTCTGCACTGGTGAGGCCACAACTAGAGTACTGTGTCCAGTTCTGGGCTCCCCAGTTCAAGAGGGACAGGGAACTACTAGAAAGAGTCCAGCGTAGGGCAACAAAGATGATTCAAGGATTGGAGCATCTCCCTTATGAGGAGAGACTGAGAGAGCTGGGACTCTTTAGTCTGGAGAAGAGAAGGCTGAGGGGAGACCTCATCAATGCCTACAAGTATCTCAAGGGAGGGTTGAAGGAGGAGGGAGCCAGACTCTTTGCAGTGGTTCCCAGTGAGAGGACGAGGGGCAACGGGCACAAGTTGGAACATAAGAGGTTCCACTCAAATATGAGGAGAAACTTCTTCACAGTGAGGGTGACAGAGCCCTGGAACAGGCTGCCCAGGGAGGTTGTGGAGTCCCCTTCCTTGGAGATTTTCAAGACCCGCCTGGATGCAGTCCTGAGTAACATGCTCCAGCTCTAGGCAATCCTGCTTCAGCAGGGGAGTTGGACTAGATGATCTCTATGGTCCCTTCCAACTCTAAAATTCAGTGAAATTCAGTGAAATTATGCCCGTTCACAAGGCTGTTGTTCAGGTCATCACACTCAATGAAGGCTGTTGGCAGAGAAACAAGGGCCTTAAGGAAAATTATGACTAAAAGTGATCTTCATGATCCTTTGGACCAAGGGATCGATGGTGTTGGGCCTAGTGGTCATGCAAACTGGAGCACTCTGATGGCAACAGGTTTGCTGAAGCAACTGCAGACCAGTGTGGCTCAGGGCTGACTGTAGCCTGCACCTCTCTCCACCATGCTCTCTGCCCAGATTAATGGCTTTGGTGACTCTGTGCCACCTGAGAATCCCACCAATGAAAGGATCCTCAGGAAGTTGACCAGATGGGTTTTACACTGGTCTTGAGAGGATCATGCTTATTGAGCAAAGCCGAAGCTGATGGATGTAATTCTGACCACCTGTACTAGGGGAAAACAGAAGGAGAAGCCTAGTATCTGGTTTTTGCCCAATGAATGCAACAGATTCCATCAAATTAATTCCCACTGAACAGTCTATTATTATTGCTGCTGTTTCTTTGTGTTTAATGGCTTTAAGATATGCTTTTATGCTAAAATCAATACCATGAAAGGAGAGGAAAAAGGTTTTTCCTATGGTATCTTTTCTTCTCTGTTGTGCAGATAATCTTCCTGACAAAGCACACTAAACATTTCACTCATTTTGGGGCTGCAAAAATGTGAATGAGGGTAAATTTACCCCTCTCTACTCTCAGAAAAAGATAATTAGGATCACTGATGTTGCCTTAAGTTGTATGTCCTGATTGAGAATCATATTCAAGTCTAAAGAAGCAAAAAGAAGTGACTGATGTCCTTGTGCTGTTTTCCAGTTTGCTCAAAACATACCACAATTAAATCACCTGAAGATAGACATGGAACTTTTATCCAGTTGCTTTATATAGTTCAAGATAATTGTGGAATCAAGCTGAGAGTGCTGTTAGAAAACCCCAAACATGACTAGTGTTACACTGCTCTTCCCAAGATCCACTAAGAAACAGTGGTACTGTGGGTGGAAAAACTATCCTTGGTTGCTCAGCAGGTGAAGTGTGTCATGGG